TTTTTTAGTATTTTTCAAATTTTGAAATTGTCAGTCTTTTAAATTTTATTTTTAATTTAAAATTAATAAATTCTCTAAAATATAAAAAATTAAAAATTACAAAAAAACTCGCTTTTTGTATTAAATAGGACATAGATATGATTTTCACAGCCGTCTTTTATGCCTCCCAAAATTTGGTTCCAGTATTTCTTTTGGGTGGAGTGCAATGGGCTGTTCATGTTTTGCAATTTTGTATGTAAATTCCATTTTCCGGGGTTATCCTTTTATTTCCTTGTTTAAGCGCTGGGATGTTAGGGTATTTTTACCCAACTTCAAAATTGGTTGGGTATTTTTACCCAATTTTCAAATTTGGGTGATATCGCGGTTAACATAGAACACAACAAATTTAATATGGTGTATAGTAAACCAAAACTCATGATTAATTTTGAATTTTCCCGCGACCAAAAAACATCACAACAAATTTATATGGTGTATCAGGCTAGTGCAACGCAGTACTGGTAGTAGGTGGTAGTATGGCTATATATCACATGGTGATTCTTATATGCTATGTTTACTGGTATAAAGGGCATTTAGCTCCATAGATGGTAGTATGTAGTTGTTTTTGTCGTATAGGGTATCTCTACTATTAGTAGTAGTATAAAGCCTACTAGCGGATTATGTTGAGCCAGCGGCCGATAAGCCGCCAGCGGTGAAAATGTGAAAAATTCATAGTACACCAAAACTCATGATTAATTTTGAATTTTCCCGCGACCAAAAAACATCACAACAAATTTATATGGTGTATTAAGCAAATGCAATGTAATACTAGTAATATATAGTGACGTACCTATATTGTACATGGTGGTTCTTATATGCTATGGTTAGATATCTACATGTTATATAGCTATATTCATGATAGTATGTAGTTGTATTTGTCATACACCAAATGTCATCTTCTAATTTGAGCTATATCACTATCAAAATAATACATGGTGTATAGTACACCAAATCTCATGATAAAATTTGAATTTTCCCGCGACCAAAAAACATCACAACAAATTTATATGGTGTATTAAGCAAATGCAATGTAATACTAGTAATAGATAGTGGTGTACCTGTATTATTCATGGTGGTTCTTATATGCTATGCTTAGTGATATAAATGGCATTTAGCTCCATACATGGTAGTATGTAGTTGTTTTTGTCGTATAAGGTATCTTTACTATTAGTAGCAGTATATGGCCGGCTAGCAGATTGTAATGAGCCAGCGAGTTTAAATCCGCCAGCAGGAAAACTGTTGAAAAAGTTAGGGGGTAACTATAAATCCGAACCAAAAAAACCCATAGTTCACCAAATGTCATGATTAAATTTGATTTTTCCCGCGACCAAAAAACATCACAACCAAAAACTCTAGTACGTATCATGTTGGTGAAATATATGAAACTTGGAGTGTTTATATTTAACCTGGATGTTCCTTCACTTATAGATTGAGCCACAGAATCTTTATAAGGCTTTATGTATGGTATTAGGTTGTCGTCTATGGTATAAATTGTCATTATTAACGTTCTAGAAGTGCTTCACCTACTTGTGAGGTATTTTCAGCTGGAGAGGAATTGGATGCTAGCGTTAAATCTATTGAAAAGGCTCAGGTACTATTAAACACATACTGAATAATCGGTTTTCAGCGGAGAATTTAAAAGATTACACCGTGGACATGCCTAATACTTCCTTTTGCTGTGTAGTGCTTAATAGTTTACATATAAGTACTATACTTAAGGGAAATGACAATTACATGTTTGTTTGTGGTAATAATAATGCTGTTTATTCACTTATAACTGTCGTTGTATCATAGTCTTTAACTGTCACATCACTTCGACAATCTTCAGCTTCTTCCAAATCCTTTTCAAGCTGTATAAATAAGCCATCAAATAGTGGTTCGTCTTTATATTTTCTCTTTAAATCGTCAAGTATTGTCATTGAGTTTTCAAGACGCTCAATTGGAACTGCATGTAATGTAGTTTTCCTAGCCATTGTTCTAAATCTCATCTCATACTCTTGATTACCTTGTAAGCTGTCATCCGACTCTTCCTCTGGTGGTGATGATGGGGGTAAACTATCTTTTACTCTTACTCTGTCACACTTGGGATTCAAAATCTTAATATCACACTCATATTTATTTCTATTCTTTTGTTTATTCATTGTTAGTTTTAGAATACTTTTCTTGCAAATGGTACATTTGGCATAACGTGTACAGCTATTCATATTCTTCATTCTAGCTTGCCTTACCTGTACTTTATTGCAATCAAAACCTTGATCAGAGTTTTCGTGTGTATCTTTGATCTTCTGGGTATTATTTATAATGTCTTTCCACTTCAAACTATCACTGAAAGTGTACAATGTTTGTTTTGTAATACCATCACTAAGTAGGTGATGAAGCAGATCTTTACTCAAAGTTTGGATGGATGTAGTGTATTCCAGTAGTTTCCCGTGGTTAATGCCAATCAAACTTTCCTTAGCCTGGGACATATTGACAGTTGGTGTTGTATATATTCTCGTACGTTAGAAGCTTATTTTCAAATATCTGAAGATTTAATATCAACTAGGAAAAAAAAAAAACCCACACAAACATGCGAAAAATCATGAACAAACTGACGCGAAAAATATTAAGTCATATCATTACATATAAATATATTGAGATATAATATATTTGATTTTGCTATATAACGTAAAAGCTGTGATTATGGATATTGGTCACGTAAGGAAAACTAGTTAAAAAATATATTAACCACTTTTACTAACTTCTTTACAGGAATACATTAAGCCCATTGCTGAGAACTATGTTTATGACATAGAACAAAAGATCATCATTGATGTTGACAAGAAAAAGGTTATCTATAGGTTCGGCTCTGTGTTTAAAAAGTTCAGGAACAAATACAGAAATAAGATTGTATCATCTTACCGTGAAGTGAATGATTTAATGGATAATTTTGAGTCTGTTTCCTCACCATATGATCAATTAGCTTTTATGAAACCTGGATATGCGGTTGGAATTTCCAGGCCTTTAGATGGGTATGCTAAACTTGAACATGTATTTATGTGTGGTGGTTGTGAATCGTTTTGTCATACACAAAAACAAACTGTGGATGGGCATATTAATTCTGGCTGTAAAGATGCTGCTGGTAATCCAATATGCTTAAAAGTCAGGGCATATGGGTTTAGAATCAAAAGTGCCAAAATGTACTTCTATTTAAGATCAGATGCTCCTGACCCTACACCAATTAGTGCTAGAAATCAAAATACGGTTCAAGGTCCTGCTATTGCTGCTGGAGCTGATGATCCCATTGTGTTTCAACCATTGAAAAAACCAGTTTTTGATGCAAATCATTTCACAACAGATCTGAGTTTCAGTGATTTGCTTCTTGTTAAGAGTGGATTTGGAATGTTGCTTGAGAACTTGAAAGAGTCGGGTATATTGAGTGGGCTGGTGTCAAAACCTTTATTTTCAAAAGCTCAAACAGTTATGATCACCAAGGCTTGTTTAACTCTTAAGGACAACTGGGTAAAATTTGGTTATATACATACACAGTTACCGTTTTTAACAACCTCTGATGATTCATCATTTATCAGAAATCCAGATTCAGATAGATCAAAATCATCACACATTGAAAGGTTTATTGTCTTCATTCGAACTTTTTTAATTATGGGGTCCTACGAAGCTTACTCAAAAGATTTCAGTGATTCACAAAACGATAACTTTGAGATGATCCACACTGTTTTGGAAAGAAACGAACACAATGTTGATGATCATGACGTTAATTTATTTGCTAAAGCGTTTGCTGACTTTATTTTTGAATCATGTTCAATGGAGTCAAGCTCCAAACTTTTAATTGATGCCCCATTGGTTCATACTGCTGGTTATGTCTCTACTGGTAATGGTTCACTTGATGGTCCTGAATTTGTTGTCAGCGTCAAACCTGAGAGCAGAATTCAAATATATGATGCTGTTAGCTTTTTTTACAAAGTTGCCCTTGGAACAGCGTTTAATGGCTCAGATCATGCCTCGTTTGTAAGTCTCGATAATTACATAGCTAAAAGAGATCATGTTAGTCGACTTTTATCTTTTCTAGACGATCGAAAAAAGGCTAGAACAGTAAGGGATAATCTCCATTCTCATAGATCCATAACTTATTTGGATGAATCTGGTGACAATATTCTCATTGATAATGCTGTGTTCAGAAAGGACTATTTTCCAAAACTATACCAAGGAGGTATTGATATGTTTATCAAGAAGCTGAATGATTTTGGTGATGCATATAATCAGCCATTTCCAGAGATCAAGAAGGTAACAGATTATTTAGATCAATTTGCTGATGCTAGTGAAGATGTATTAAACAATGATGTTGGTTTTTATTGTCTGGATAATGTTCAACAAAGGTCTGATTTAAAGATCACAAGTTGCAGTAATGAGTTATCAGCTGCTATTAAGAAGAACCCAATGAAAGTTATAAAACAACTCCAAAATATAATAAACTCCAGTATATTCAATGTCTTACTTTTTGCTGGATATGGGATATCACGGGGTAGTGAAATGAGCGAACTGAGTTTTCGAAATACGCCCGCTGCCCCTAGAGGTATATTTTATAATGGTAAACTTGCTCTTTCTAGAACCAAAACCACAGAAGTGTTAGATGCTTTTAGTTCAATCATCCGTATGATACCAGTTCAAATCAAATCATTGATTTATTATTACTTATATGTGGTTAGGGATCTTGAACTCAAGATCTCTGAGACCTACCTTAGTGATGCTTATAATGGATTAGATGGTGGTTTGTCCTCTGGAGATGATGTTACTGGTATCAATGACATATTAGATTCACAAGGTGCCATGAACTTTGATAAATCTGCAAAATTAAAGCCACATCAAGTACTTAACTTCTTTGTATTTGCTGATGGATTTACCAAATTTTCTTACAATAAGGTATCATCATTGTTTAAAACTTACTTAGATGCTATTCTAGGCCCAAATAGATTAACTTTGACAACTTTTAGACATGTTGGTATTCATTTTCAAAGAGACATATTGTACAAAGATCATGAATTATGTACCAAAATCAATTCAATAACACCTGTGGAAATGAGCAGTGGTCATTCGGTTAGAACTGGTGTTGAAGTTTATGCTCAACAGGATTCCATCACAGGACCCAGAACTTTTGATAATAGAATCTTATCTATTTTGGGGAAAAAATGGCAATTGGTTTTAGAAGGTAAAGCTGAAATAATGAATCAAGAACATGCTGTTTCACTAGATGGTGCTAATCTAAATTTTACTTCACCAACAACTTTAAATCTATGGACTCTCTTGAAACAATTATTTGGTTCAAATTTTGATTTCTTTGATCAAAGTCAAGAGACATCAACAAAGCTTGGATTAGCTACCAATGAAAGTTTGTTGCTCAATAAGCGTACTGGTGCAGGTAAAACGATTATGAGCTTAGCACCATTTCTTACCAAATCTATGTTGTTTCACAAGCTAAAGAATAGAGACAAAAATTTAGTGAAACCAATATTAATTGTGGTAATACCCTTTGTTGGTTTGTGCAATCAATACCAAAATCAATTGAAAGAATTCAAACCACTTTTGCATAATGATTTTACTTTTGGTGTATATAAAGATGGTGTCAGTGAACAGACTCTAAGATCATGGGATGTTGTGCTGGTACAGCTTGAAAACGGTGCTAGAGAAACATTTGTTCAGTTCGTACACAAATATGAGTCTCCAAGCTTTTACAACGGTAGGTGGTATCATATAGATCGTATCATTTTTGATGAAATACACCAAATTATATATGCTGATAGTTACCGTCATCAAAGTATTGCAAACATCAATTCACTAATCAAAGATGTGAATATCCCTTTAACTTTATTATCTGGTTCTTTGCTACAAAGGGATTTTCCTCAAATCTTACAAAAGTTAAATCGTGTAGACATAAAAACAACTCGAGAATCTTTAGATGATTCAATCCACCCATCAAGGCTAATGAACATAATAAAAGATAAAGAATGGATCAGATCAAATATCACAATTCATACGAAATTTTGTGAAAATAACAATGAGTTGAATGATGTTGTCAAAGATTTTCATAATAAATTCGCTAACGTTCATGAAAAGCTAATTGTTTTTATGAACAACAAACATAAATTAGCAAATTTAAAATGTTTATTAGATGATGAGTCGGTAAATGAGTTTAATGGAGAAATGTCACATGAAGAGAAAATTAAGGTTCAACAAGATTTTGGTACAGGTAAATGCAAAACGTTACTATCAACTATTGCTGGTAATAATGGTCTTAGTTTCAATAATGTCACAAAAATTATTATTATAGGTAATATTGGGAGTATTGAATCAATCCAAGCTCTTGGCCGTGGTGCAAGATCACCAAAAGAAACATGTTCAGTTTTGTTTTTGGATTTAGCAGAAAATATCGAGGCAATATATAAAGACTTGGATGATCTTCCTAAACAAATTTATACAGATACGGTTTTATCAAAAATTGATTTGTCATTTTATAAAATGATTTATGGATCAGGTAACTCACAATTAATTAAAGATAATATCAATGAATTCATTAATGTACCAGTTAAACCTGGTGAAATTTGGCAGTTTGGATTAAAATTTGTTAAACCAGCTCCTTCCATACAACAAAACGTTTTTTTTGCTAATAAAAAACAAAAGATCAATCTGGTTCAATCAAAATCCATTAGTTCTGTTACAGCTGCTGCTTCACCTGATGTTTCAAGGCAAGTTATCTTAAAACATAAACCTCGTCCTGCTGCTGCTCCTGTTTTAATTTCCAAAGAAGACGATCTTAAAATTAAAAAATTTAAAAAATGGCTTATTCAACCAAGCACAATAGAAAAAATGAAAGTTTTGGAAATGAAATCAAACATAAAGTACCTGGAGGTAGTAAGCTTAATCAAAGCAAGAGAGTACGATGTTTCGTGTAATTCTTGTTCATCACGTTTTCATCCTAAAGGTTCAACTTGTAATTTCCTTGAAGTTTTACCACCCCTAACTGAGGTGATTTATATGTTGAAAGGTCCAGATACGTGTGTTCGTGTGTTCAATGAAGGTAGAACCGAATTGTTTTTGGATGTTTTCGATAAACAGTTTGATGTTATTAGCAAAACATTACAAGCCCATTATGATAATCTCAAAGCGTTTAGGGAATTAAGAAAAACATACATTACCTCTGGTATTCCATGGTTCAAGCTTTACAAAGAAAAACATACAAATACAAGACTTGGTTCTCGTATAGCATGTCTAGATGAGGAGCCATTACAGTTTAATAGTTTATTTTTCCAAGCTTTTATGGATAAGGTAAAGGTAATAATGAGTTACTACACTAAACAGGGTATGTTTGGAAAGCATCAAATTTGCTATGAGTGTGGTTTTATTGAAAAGTATGAGATAGAATCTGGTTACAAAGAGTGCTCAGAGTATCCAGAAGGTCCAACTCATCACAAAAGAATTTATGCTTTATATATGCATTTTATCCAGAAGCACAACCAAACTACCATTTTGAAGTCTTGTTTTAATCAAGAAATCTTTAAGAAACATCTGAGTGATATTGAGTCAAACATGAAGTTAGGTCCTGTGTTCTTCATATACGCCATGTTGAAACCATTTATTGTTCAAAAAGAGTGTCCCCAAAAGAATGATCAATTAAAAGCTGTTCCATTTTACATGATTTTAGTTATTGAATTGGTGAACAAAAGAAAGAACTTCTTGTTTTAATTCCAATCAAGGCCTAATGAATATAACCTTGTTTTGCCATTATGCGCTTAGCGTGTGTATTTTAATAATGTATGATATATTATAAACGTTTTGTAGTTGATTAACAACTTATTTAAAGAACACGATTATGTTGAGCCAGCGGCCGAAATGCCGCCAGCAGAGAAAATTGTGAAAAATCTAGGGGGTAACTATAAATCCGAACCAAAAAAAATCATAGCTCACCAAATCTCATGATTAATTTTGAATTTTCCCGCGACCAAAAATCATCACAACAAATCTCATGATTAAATTTGAATTTTCCCGCGACCAAAAATCATCACAACAAATCTATATGGTGTATTAGGCTAGTGCAATGCAATACTAGTAATAGATAGTGGTGTACCTATATTGCTCATGGTGGTTCTTATATGCTATGTTTACTAATATAAAGGGCATTTAGCTCTATAGATGGTAGTATGTAGTTGTTTTTGTCGTATAGGGTATCTCTACTATTAGTAGTAGTATAAAGCCTGCTAGCGGATTATGTTGAGCCAGCGGCCGATACGCCGCCAGCGGAGGAAAATGTGAAAAATACACAGCTCACCAAATCTCATGATTAATTTTGAATTTTTCCGCGACCAAAAAACATCACAACAAATTTATATGGTTTATTAGGCCAGTGCAACGCAGTTCTGATAGTAGATGGTGGTATGGTTATATAGGATATGGTTATTCTTTTGTGCTATGTTTAGCAATATAAATGGCATTTAGCTCTATTTGGGGGTAGTACGTAGTTGTATTTGGTGTATACTGTTACTCGTCCTACTTTAGCGATGTTAAGCCTACTAGCGGATTATGTTGAGCCAGCGGCCGATACGCCGCCAGCGGAGAAAATTGTGAAAACTTTAGGGGGTTAAAGGTAGTTTATAAATGGAATATATTTTTCCAGTGCTTGAAATTACATTGTGTTTAATGTTAAACTCACAAATATCCATTTACGTTACTATGTATATTGGTTATATATCAATTCTATCCATAACAAATGAGACATGCTTGCGGCTGATATTACGGTATTCTTCTTTCAATAATTTGTAAATATTTTCCCTTTTCACATTCTTTGTATTTTCAATTTTTTGCAAAATAATAGAAACAATCTCATCTGGAGGTGCGATTATTTTATCATGGAAGGTTATGTTTGGTTTTGTTTCTGGTGCTTGTTTTTTCTTTTCTAGTCCCGATTTGACAAGCTTTTTTATGGTATTGTCATAACGTCTATTTATTTGATTTATGTCATGTATCACAGTTGGAGTGGATTTTATTCTTTCTTCCCTATAATTAACTCTGGTTGTTCTCAATAGTGTTTTTATGTTATCATCAGTTACTTGTAGCTCTTGATCAAAAACTTTATTAAGAAAGTTTCTTTCAAAAACTGTAATTTTGTTTCTTCCTTTTTTATGTTGATTTTTGAAGAACATTTCAAGAAATATTTCTTTTATTGCATCTAGTTTTGACTGTTTTGTTTTTATGATATTATTTGTATTGCTGGATAGAAAAACTGATGCATCTATCTCCTCAAAATCATCATCTTCTTCATCTTCTTCATCTTTTGACTTATCTTTTGGCTTATGTTCTTCAACCGATAATCTCTGAATTCCCAGTTTTTTGAGCTCCTCTTGGACATGTTCCTTTAACATTAACCTCCATTTTGTAAATAATCCTTGGGTTTCTTGCGTTCTAGATAGTTGAATTAGGTCTTCAATATTTCCTTTGCTTTCTATTAGTTGTTTTATGTGATTTATGGTGAATGCCCCACAGCTAAAGCCATCGTGTTGTTTGGCGAGACAAATGTATTTTGTATTGTAAATTCTCATGAGATCCATAGTTCCGTTCCTCAAAGTTGATGCTTTTATATTCATCACCATATCTTGAATAATGTTTTCTTGTTTTTCTGAAATTTTTGAAACTTGAGACATACTATCAACTATGGAAACTGTAGATTGGAATTCACCACCAAATAATGATATTTCAACTTTTCCCATTACCCAATGAATCATATTTAGATTTATAGGTAGGAGGATTTGCATATTTCCTAAATTTGTTAATTTACAAATCATACCATAAGGGGGTGACAAAGTGACTGGAGAAGAGGACGGTAATGGTGGAAGAACAACTGTTAAAAAACTTTCACTGGTCATTAATTCTTTACCATCAGATTCATCTGATACCAAATGAGCATTTGTTGTGAATGAACTGATGTGGGTATTTAAAAGCAGTTTAAGATGATCATCACAATACCAACTCTTTTCGTCAATTTTGTTGATGCTCTTGAGGGAGTAATCAACTAACTCATTTCCTAGCCACTTTGAAAAAATTATATGATTCTTGTTAGACATGTTGAATATATCTTAATATTAGACAAATAGCTTTGAAGAAACCGGCTTGTATTATGTTTTTTATTCTCATGATTAAATTTGAATTTTCCCGCGACCAAAAAACATCACAACAAATTCATATGGTGTTTTAGGCAAGCGCAACGCAATACTAGTAATAGATAGTGGCGTACCTATATTGTACATGGTGGCTCTTATATGCTATGTTTAGCGATATAAATGGCATTTAGCTCTATTTGGGGGGGGGGGGGGTAGTATGTAGTTGTATTTGGTGTATAGGGTATCTCTACTATTATTAGCCTACTAGCGGATTATGTTGAGCCAGCGGCCGATATGCCGCCAGCGGAGTAACTTGTGAAAAATTTAGGGGGTAACTTTAAATCCGCACCAAAAAATTCATAGTACACCAAAACTCATGATTAATTTTGAATTTTCCCGCGACCAAAAATCATCACAACAAATTTATATGGTGTATTAGGCTAGTGCAACGCAGTTCTGATAGTAGATGGTGGTGTGGCTATATATGACATGGTGATTCTTATGTGCTATGTTTAGTGATATAAATGACATACAGCTCAATTAGGAGTAGTACGTAGTTGTATTTGGTGTATAGGGTATCTCTACTATTATTAGCCTACTAGCGGATTATGTTGAGCCAGCGGCCGATATGCCGCCAGCGGAGAAATTTCTGAAAACTTCAGGGGTAACTATAACACTTATAACGAGAATTCGCGGATTTTGTATGGGGAATTTTTTTTTTACTAACAAAAAATTTCGTTTTTTTGAAAATTTTGAAAATTTCATGAAAATCAAATCCTTAACTATGGGGAGTTTTCATTTTTCTCAAATTTCGATGGGAGTTTGAAAAAATCTCCGTCTAGCGAAATCGAGCTCTGCCTAAAATCTGAGAATCGCTGGGAGGTTTAGAAGGAAAAAAATTATTTGTCCAAAATCCTTCAGCAGCTAGGCCGTAATTACACTAGTGTAGTGAAATTTCTGTCCCACTAAAGCTTAATCTCGAGAATCGTTAAAAATATTTTGTCTGTTGACGTCCATTGAAAAATTAATGATTTTTAACATATGTACATATACTGCAATTTTATAAATAATCAAGCTATAATACCATCAGTCATTTAAATCATCCATGATGAATGTCGTGACTAGTGATAATACAGAGCGGCAAAATCAAAGAAAACTCCAAGACCTAGGACATATACCAGATGAAGCTAACGTGAAACGAGATCATTCAGCTAAAACCATTACATTAAATCAAACCCAACCAGAAATAATTAAAGCATTATTAAATATACAACAAAGTGAACCCAATGAAATCACAAGTGGTAACATGGAGTGCAATATTAATCACTTCTATGAAACATGTAAAGCAGCAGCATTAGCAATTGCTTACTTCAAAGATATAAAGATAATTCAAAATAAGTCACTTATGTGGTCAATATTTGGTCCAGATGAAGATAATAACCAGGAACTGAATACAATAATCAAGTTCATAAGAAAGAAGAATCCTTCATTGTTCTACTGGAGAATTCAAAACAAAGATGAAATTCATCCAAATTCCAGTCTGGTTATCAAACTTACAATTCAACAAATGTTAACAAAAATTAAAAGAGTTATTTTTGACTTTACAAGAAATAATGTCATTGATAGAATCAATGAAGATAATCAATATTCAAGCGTTGGATATACATTACTTGACGTTCCTTATTCACCATTTTTAGAGAATTTTAACTCGTTTGAATTTTTATCTAGAGAAAGAGTTATTGAAAAAAGGAAAAACCAAAAGGCAGAATACATTGTCATCAACCAAGATAATATAAAATCAAGTTTTAGATCCAAACTTAAAACAATAATATCACAACGTATAAAGGTTAAAGAGTTTTTGGGTGATCTCTCAAACAAGTTAAATTGGGACTTCAATTCTTTCACTGATACAATATTACAAGCTGAAACCGTTTATGATCAAGAGAATATGGATGGTACAGATATTTTGAATAATAAAATAGGTAAAAATAGTCTTACAAGTGAATCAGATCATGCTAAATATATTAATAATTTTAAAAGTTTACTAAATAGACCAATGAAGGAAACTTTGGCTAAGAAAATTTATGGTGATGAAATTAGATTCAAAAGACCAAGATCTGAAGGTACAGAATCTGATTCTGATGCTGATTCTGATGCTGAATTTGACGTTGCAATTAATAACACAGAACAAGTGAATTATCAAAACGCTGCTGATCCTCAAAGGTTTTATGATGATGATGATGAATTAAATGAAGAATTCATAGACGAAATAGAAGATCAATTAAGAAATGCTGGTGATGTATCATCAAGTACAATTAGATTTAGTGGTACTTCTGCAGCCAATCTTGTCAAAGCACTTCAAGAAGAAATATGCCAAAATTTTGAAAATCCTTCAGAAATGTTCAAATTTAATTATATATCAAAGTTTGGGTTTGGTAAATTTACAAAGATGGTTGCAGACAGAATAGTAGGTGATTTTGATGTTGTTAAATTAACTGAAAATGGTGATCCAGCTGTTGAAATTCAAGATGGTATTGGTTATGATGAAGTTTTAGATGAATTTAAATTAGAAAGATTAAAAATCTTAAAATCTTTATCAACAATTACTCGCCCTGTAGAAAACTATTTAGAACGCGCAATATCTTCAAGGATCAAGCATAAGCTGTTATTTAGAGTTTACATATGTAAACATAAATGCAGTTCAAGCTATCGGTCTGAAGTGTGTGATGATAATATGTTTAAATGCAGGGTCTGTGGTACAATAAATTTCAAATCTGATGCTGATAATTATTTATATTCTTCACCACGGTTATATTTTAGTTCATTGTTCCAAAATGTCGAATTGAGATCACGTATTCAAAGATTTCATGAAGAATTCAATAATTTTGATGATTTATATGCTGGTTTTCATAATAGTGATGTTGTTGATAAGCTAAAAACTATACATAGAGGCGGTGAATTTTCCAATGGTGAGACTTTTCATTCAGAAAGTAAGTATTTTGACCCTAATGATTTGAATTTAACATTATTTTTAGCATTAGATGGCGTTTCGCTTGATTCTCGTAATTCTACCTGGCCGATTATTCTCAACATCCTCGACCTTATGAATGAAGGTAACTCTACAGATTCAGAGGTAAGGGTGATGAGTTTGCCATGGTTTCAATTACCTGATGTTAGCAAATTCCAGAGTAATGATTTCCTCTCAATATTGATGGATGATTTGCTCGATATGGAATCGAACGGTCTATATGTTAATGATATATTAAATGATAATAAATTAGTTAAGATTACAGTAACGTTTTTAGGCGTTGCAGGTGATTTGCCTGCAATTAGTAAAGTGTATAGTACACTCGGCTCCAGGGCACTCTCTGGATGCCGTTGCTGTAGTTGCTATCCAAGGTTAACAGTTACAGAAGAAGGTCAAATTGAATGTTTGAATAAATTTCAAGTAGAAAATGGGTTGTTTAATGAGATCACTGATATGGACCTTTTGACAGAAAAATTACAAGAAATGGATAAAAATCGTGCAAAGTTTAAGCAGAGAGGATACTTTACAGATGGTTTTGTTGGATTACCATTAAAGGATGAGATATATAGAAACAAAGTTGAAGAAATTTTATACAAGGATTCAAGCCTTTCAAGTGTTTTAGGGTTTAGGGAAGTTCCATCATTATTAAAGTATAGCAACTCAGTGGTAAACTCATTTTCAACATTGATTGACAGTATGCATAACCTTGAGACTTTGTCTCTTAAATTGATAGATTTAATCTTTGGTGCTGGTCGTTTTTATGCAAATGTTGGTGATTTTCCATCACGTATCAAATTGTGTAATAGAATTGATAACCTGAATTTTGTTTCCATAATGGGTGAAAGCTTCACTTCCAAAGATATCCTAAACCACCTCAAGGCGGAACAACTTTTAACACTGTTTACCATATTGCCACCATTATTATATGACCTAAACTTCACAGTTGAATTTAAGACGTTAATATTTCAATTTTCATTGGTGATCCAATTACTTTTTTCCCGTTATATAACCAAAGAATTTTTGTCCAGATCAGAGGCGTTGGTGGTTAGTTTTGTTTCAAACTTTGAAGCATTTGTGGATCAATTGGTATTGTCTGAGGGAGATGAAAGTCTTTTTTCTTTAGTTAGTATCTTTTTGCATGAGTTAGTGCACTTGCCTTATTTAATTTCAACTTACGGGCCTGTTGCCAACTATATGTGCTTCAAAAATGAACGCCATGTAGGCTCAGTGAAAAGATCTACTCTGGGTGGTGTCTGGGTGGTGTCTGGG